TGTTTCCATGATGATAGAATTTTTAAGGTGTTTAATTTAGCAGGCAAGCTGAATCATAATTGCCTGTAAAGCATAGCCACTGGGGTATATATCTTCCTGCCTCTTCATCATGCCATGTCAAATTGTATTTCCTAAGGTGCTCAATAGGTTGTCATATGTAAGCAAGGAAATTCAATACAATACAATGTAAATTTAATACAGGGTATCTCTATTTACACTGAAGAATTATGTTTACTGTAAGAATTAAACAACACTGTGTCCGTGCACCATAAAAACAGCACGCACAGTGAATATCGACGCTCCAAACCCATTTGTTTGTTTTTTGTCAGTGAGGCTTGGCAATAAGAACATCAACTGCACGCTGCCCCCAAGGTCCCGAGGCTTATTGAGTGTGGCAGATATCTCCCTGTGTGAATACTTGATCCTTCAATTAAAAAGGAAGAGAGAGAGAGAGGCTCTCACACCGCGGAGGAATGCCTTATTACTCTTGTGCTTGCCTAAAAATGGCATCGACAGAATCTAAAAAAGGCTGTGCTTGGGAGATTCTACCTGACAAATTGATGGGAGGTGTTTCATAAAAGTTAACCAAGGTTTGCTCCAAACTGTCAAGCAGTTTCCCTAAGTGGCTCACTGAATTCTGGAATCCGTTGTACCTGTTAAAACTGAACACTAACTGAGGGAAAGAAGAATTATATTTGGCCATTCAAATAGTTATTTCAGAATGAAACTTTAAGAAAACACACAATTACTTCTTTAATACCAGAGAAAATAACAACAGACCTACGAAAACATCTGAATTTTTCCCTTATGAGATTAAGAGTGAATGAGTAAAACTTTCACTTTTATTTTAATATCTCTGGTCAGAACCTTATGTTAAGGACAAGTGTGCAAAAGCTAGAGACAGATTAAGGAATAAGACTATGAATTTTTGCCATTCAGAGATTTTTTTTCATAGCCCATTCCTCCTTAATTAGCTGTCTTGACTTTGAGTAATTAAATTGTTTAATTCTTATTAATCCAATTTTCTACATCTGTACATGGGGATATTATAAATTTCATGGGCTAATTTCAGGAATTAGAGTATTATCATAGTTAACTTTAACTGTCAACTCGACATAGTCTGTAGTCGCCAGAGAAGAGGGTCTCAGCTCAGGGATTGTCCTGATTGGAGTGGCCCGAGGGCATGTCTTGTGAATGCTTGTTTTGACTGTTAAATGATGTGTAAAGGCTCAGCCCATTGTGGGTGACACCATTCCCTAGGTAGGTATTCCTGGGCTGGATAAGAAAGCTAGATAAACATGAGCCCACGTGAGTTTTTTGCCATAGTTTCTTCCTTTGATTTCCTGCCAGAGTCCTCCACATCATGGTATTCTGTATAAGTCTTCAGAAACAAGTACAGCCCTAGATTGTTACATTCTTGCTCAATGATCACAGCTATTTTGATGTGTGTGTGTGTGTGTGTGTGTGTGTGTGTTTTGTCAGTTTTAATTGTCAACTTGGCTTAATCTTGATCTCCTATGAAAAGAACCTCCTTGAGGAATGGTAGATTGTATTGCCCTGTGGGCATGTCTATGGGGAGTTCCTTAATTGAGCTAATTGCTGTGGGAAGCTCCACCATGAATGTGGGTGACACTATTCAATAGGCTAGGCTTTGGATGGAATAGAGAGAGTGAGCTGCACACTATCAGGCGACCTCCATCCATTCTCTCTCTCTGCTCTTGAGTGTGTATACAATAGACAATTCAAGCTTTCTTTGACTTCCCTACAAGAGGAATCAGAGGATGCAATGGAGTCAAGGATGAGCAGGGTAAAATCCAAGGGTTTGGGCTGGTACAAGTGGGTGGTGTCCATTTTGAGGAGTATGACATGAAAGGGAGGGCATGATGAGAGACAGGGGATGGGGTGTGAAGCCAAACTGGACATGCTGAGTGTCAGATGGGATAGAAACCTTTGAAGGTCACAATAGGGACCTGGGTGGTTCACTGCCACTGTCAACATGATGGGCTCTCCTCCAGGAGGGGACTCTGTGCTGTAAAGAGTTACAGACATCAGTGTAGCATCTGGGCTTGCCTGTGAGAAGTTACCTAGAATGGCTTAATGGAGGTGGGTAGAATCACCTTAAGTTTGGGTGGAATTTTTTCATGGGCTGGAGTGCCAGTCTAGATAAAAAGAGAAAGGAAAGCGAGTGTGGCCATCCTCCGGCTCCCTCAAGCTCCCATCATCATGACTCTGTTGGCCACCATGAAGAATTATTCCTCTGGACTGTGATTCAAAATAAAGTCTTTTCTCAAAAGCGTCTTTCATGAGGTATTGTGTTGCAACAAGGACCCACGTAACTAACACAGTGTCCCAAGGAAAAAGCGAAGTGAGGAAAGTTTATTAACATTTACCAGCATCCTAGTCTAGTCTTCACCTGTCAACAAGCCTGGGTGAGCCTAAGAATCAGATTCTTAAATCGGTATCACCAACAAGGTTCTAGTAATTAGGCAAGTTTGAGAAACAGCAATCAACAGCACTTCAAAATATTTCCTCACTACCATGAGGTGAGGCCTATAATGGCAGGTCTTACAATATACAATTGCATAAACCAAGAGACATGAATTCTTTTCAGGCTTTCTACAGGAAGGAAGTAAATGATCAGCAGTTTTGGGCATCTGGTGGGAGTGTCAGTCGGGTAATTAAAGAACATTAAGTCCAGGGCACAGGGCGTAACTGTCATGAAGAAGACATTGAAAACATCATGTGGTATACGCCTGTGATCCCAGCACTCAGGGAAGTAGAGGCAGGTGGATCTCTGTGAGTTTGAGGCCATCCTGGTCTACAAAGCAAGTCCAGGACAGCCAGGGTTATGCAGAGAAACCCTGTCTCAAAAACCAACAAAACAAAACGAAACAAAATGAAAAGATTATGTAGTCAAGAGTAGTGAGAATGCTTATACTGAAAGAAGGATAGTATGGCTTCACTGTGGCTAACCTATACAGATGAATTGGGATTCTATAGGAAAAGGCAGGGAGAAAAAGGGATGTTAACCTCGCCTTGTAAAATTCAGTGAGATCCCCAGAATAACATGGCCATCTCACTTCCGAGACTCCTCATGTTGTTGGGCTTTACGTTAATACACAAAAGTGAAACTAAGTCCCAAAGGGACGAGTGACATATAGGTGGGTCGAAGCAGCTGGGGGTCACCTGGCCACCAGGCTACATGATATGAAGTTGGTTCTTCAGGAATGTAGGGGATATGCAGGACCCATGAAAACAGGCAGAGGCCAGAGTGGTTTGGGGAACCAGATGATACCTCTCCATTACCAGTCAATGAAAGGAAACAATGGAGAATCTGGAAAAAGGGAAGAAGAGTCATGAAAAGTAGTCCTTTAAAACGTTCTTACAAGATTTACTTTGTGTGCGTGTGTGTGTGTGTGTGTGTGTGTGTGTGTGTATGTGTGTGTGTGTGAAAGGACCCCTCGAGCTAAACTTATAGGTGGTTGTGAGCTGACCAACACTGGGGCTGACAAATGAACTCAGGATCGCTGGAAGAGTAGCACATGATCTTAACTCTGAGCAATTTCTAAAGCCCCTTTAATCATTGCCCCACTATGAAAGTGTAGAAAATTCTACTATGATTAAACACATTATGATATCATAAAAGTCTTAGCAAATATTCTTTATCTCTTGCTTATTGAATATATTTAAAAACTACTTTGCAAGAGCACAGAATATGACAAGTGAAGATGCTCAAAATGAGAACATGTTTTCCCCTAGACAAGCAGGGCAGGAGAAGTTCAAGCGACAACTAGCAAACTGGGAAGAAGGAAGTGTCCTATGCAAACCAGGTAGCTGGGTGGCAGCCAGTCAGCACAGATCAGCAACATTTCACTGACACCTGAAGACTAGACAGATTTCTTTGTGGAGTCACAAGCGTGACAAGAACTCTGGCTGCTTAATATAGTATCCTATAGACATCATTTATTTTTGTTAAAAAAGTTGAAAACATACAGGAGTAGCTTCAATGGCAGAGAAAAATGACTCCCTGTAATTACTATAACTCTCTCCATTACCTCAACTATAGCTATTGCATTTGCTAAAAGCTTAATTCATGATAAACATGAGACAATCTAGTAAAACTGCAAGGTTTTTGTTTTGTTTTATTCTTTCTGGTTATACTTACAGAAGCCATTTCAGTTTTCAACAATGAGGTTTTTTTTTTTTTTATAAAAATGGTTTCTGTAATATTAATAGATTTTGATATTTATCACGAAGACAGATGTGGTTTGATATTCTGTTCCTTCTTCCAGAGTTTAACAAGAATTCTATGTTAAACAAATTTTAAAGATATTTCCAATAACTGGATAAATAGATAAGTCTTCAAAAGCCTATTTAAATGTCTTTATAATAAGGCTTTGTTTTCATGTCTTTTAACTGGATAGCTTTTAACTCTAAATAGCACAAGGACGCATACCTCACGTAGAAATACAATGCACCTTAAGTTAAGTGTGTGCATGTTTAATGCATGCATTGTTTAAATCTCCATGCTGAAATATTTATAAACAGCATTCTAAGGAATGTGAGTTCCAAGTGGTCGCTTTTAAAATAAACTTATTGACTCACAAACAATTGAAACACGCTGTGTACATGAACTTCCTGCCTCTTTACTTCTCCAAGGAGGAACTAATGGCCACTGAGAACAGAAAGTCCTTAAAGACAATGTCACTCTCAAAGCTACGCTCCTCCGGAGTCTCCATTCATCCCTGTCCACTCTCCTGGCTCACACCGAACAATGGCGTGCAGTACACAGGAGCTATCAAGAGGGAGCACTTTTGAGCCACCAAAACTGCATGTCAGCCTCCACAGCTCACCTCCCTGACTGCAGGGATAGGATCTCAGGTATTTTATGTGATAAAATGATCATTAAAAATTAAGTACCACATATAAGCTGCCATTTAGAATATTAATTTACTTTTGCTAATCATGTTTTTAACTTCAGGCTAAAAGAGTTCACTCACCATTCGGATACTCGGGCTCTGTCCAGGAGATGTTAAAGGAGTCTGGAGAGTAGGAGTGGGCTCTGGGGGCTGGCACACCTTCTGGAACCGTCTTCTCCATTAGGGCCTGGCTGGGCTCACTCATCGCACAGCCACCACCCGTGCACACCTAAGCCGGTGCAGAGAAAAACACTCAGGCCTGCTGTCCAAGTTCAGATGAGTGCAGAAGAGACAACGCGTAGGAGTTCGTCTAAAATAATATTCCCTTCGCCCACCCCCAAGTACGGTTGTTTCTATGCTGAGGTGCGACACGTGGTTAGATTGCCGTTTAAGATGTGAGAATTCATCCTCAGTAAGTTCAAAATTACCAGGTACGTGAAGAACTGGCCTAAGTTTCAGCCTAAAGACACAGGGCATGTAATGACCAGGTGGGCAGTTCTGCTGGTATGCAGAGGGTCTCAGAAAGAAGCACACACACACACACACACAGAGAGAGAGAGAGAGAGAGAGAGAGAGAGAGAGAGAGAGAGAGAGAACACCACTTCAGGAAAATAATAGGGACTTAAGAATATTTTTTAAAAAACAGCTTTTTTGGTTTGTTTGGTTTTTGGTTGAAGATTATGAGATGGCACTCACTCCATTCACTTTGGTGTAGCCTACATGCTCATATTTCAATACCACAGTAATTGTGTTAGAAGACATAGATCCCCTTAAATCATGATGAAGAACTTAAAATGATCCCCAAAATAGCATCTAACACCAGAAATAAAAGGAAGACATTCAAGACATTGGATCATTGGATTTTCTCACAATGACTGTAAATTATTTCAAACTTACCAGAAATTCCTTTTTTTTGAAATTGTGACTTACATATAGGGCTGCTATTCTATCTTTAGCAAACACAAGCAATTGTAATTTTATATAACAATGACATGAGAAAACTGCTTGAGTATATATGATATAAACACACATACATGTATATATGTGATTGATAATATAACATGTACACTCGCACACATATATAATTGATATGAAAGTCAGCCAGTTATAGTGGTGTTCACTTCCTGAAAGAATTCTGTAGCAGGGGCTGGTGAGATAGCTCAGCTGGTAACATGCTCACACAAGGATCCCTGTGCAATCCTATGAACACACAGAAGTCAGCTAGGCATGTGAGCTTTCTGGAGAGGTATTGATGAAAGAGTCACTGCGTTTGCTGATCAGCCAGCTCAGCCTAATCAGAAAGCTCCAGACCAGTGTGAGAACCTGTTTCAAAACCAACCAGGTTGCCCCGGGGACACAGCTTAGTGGGTAAAGCAGCTGTGCCACAAGCATAAGGATCCCGAACAAGCATGGCAAACTTCTACCTTACCCAGCGCTCCAGCGAATGGAGCAGATGGGTTACCAGGGCTCAGCCCCAGCCGGTGTGGGGGAAATGCAAGCTCCAGGTTCAGTCAGAGTCTCAAAAAATGAAGGGGAAGCACACATCCCTACCACATGCACAAACATATGATACACACACACACCAAAAGGGGGTTGGGGTAAATGATTAAGCAAATAATTAACAAGGTGCATAGCACATAAAGGAAGGCATCCAAGGCTGATCTCCGCATGAGTGCATGCACACGTACCCCCCCACACACACACACAGACAGAGAGAGAGAGAGAAGGGGGAGGAGACAGCAGTAACCCTGTCTTCAGAATAATTTCCCATGGGCTTAAGCAAGACCCAGGTGACTGCCATCATTATTCGTGGACACAACTGCAGTAAGGCAGGGGCTAACCAGATGCTCTGGTTTCCCACCGTGTTCTGATATAGACATGCATATATGTACATGTAAAGAAGAGCTCTAGTCCTCCTGAGGATGGAGCCTTTGGCAATCAAGCCACATCCTCTAGTTGTATGACCAAACCTGACATAAGAAGCCACCTCTGACCCAAGAACCAGCTATGAGAATAGTTTCTTTAAAACTGAAAACACAAGCATGTCACCTATATGCTACAAGCCTCAGAAAATATCCAGGGGACAGGGCCATGTGTGACACCTGAGCTAGCAAAGCTGATGCTCTCAGGACACCCCGTTTCTCAAAGAGGGGGAATATGTTCACATGAGTCTCAGAGCTTTACCCCTTAGATTCAAAGCATGTAGCAGCATATTACTGTTAAACCGATCACAAAATGGGATTTAATTCTGATTGTTATGATTTTCTTTGTGGCTTACATTCATGTTACAGCACTTCCCTTGTTACCTCTCTCTGAAGAGGCACCGTTCTATGTGGCATACATTACTGCATTTATTTAAATAGTACATAAACTTAAATTGGCAAGCTTTTGAAAAACTTACGATGTTTTCCAGAAACAAATACAATATCCTCTTTGGAAGGGCTATTCTCTGACTGCTGTCTAACATCTACAAACTGGCAAAGAAGGGCCTCGGGGATTCATGACATGATCTTTTCAGCCAGAGAAGCAGGGTGTGAGGAGTTGTTGAAACAACAGAAATATTTGCAACTTCATTTCAGTTTTGGCATTTCGAGGGCCCTTCTTAAACCCATATCTGATTTATCTAATGCAGATTGAAATTCCAACTTAGGAAAATAAATAAAATAGCTGGATCGATTGGAGATGTATTTATAAAACAGAAAGGATCATGAAACCCTGTGAGGTAGTAAGCTATGTCCAGCTTTTAGTCAATCACAGACACTTAAAAACAAAATTCATGATATTGTGTTGCTATCCCCAGCAGATGGGTAACTTCTGATCTAAAGAGACTTTAGTTGGTACAATAAAATGTGTATGTAATCTCATTACAGTGACAATTTTTGAAATAATGACTGCTAGGTACTACTAAAGCTAGCATTCTCTTTTCTAGTATCTTGTTTTCAGATAAGCAGGACCCAAGGGTATGAAGACTTCAGGATATTATAAGGCCTGAAGGGGGAAAAAAACCCCTCACAGTTGCTTTATTCCTCCTAGTCTTTTCCTGAGAAGTCGAGCCTGAGAGCCAGTGTGGTACAGTGCCCACCGTGCATGAGAACCCGAATCCAGATCGCCAGCATCCTGGAGAGAGATGGCTTGGTAGGGTGCATATGTAAGCCCCAGTGCTTGGGGGGGCATTGCTGGAGCTTGCTGCCCGGTCTAGATGATAGGTGAGGCCTGAGCTCATTGATAAAGAAAGACTGTGTCAAAAGATGAAGTCAAGAGTGATAGAAGACAGATGGCCTCTACATGCACATACATGGCTGAACCTCCGCCAATACAGACACAATCACATACATATCACACACACACACACACACACACAGGTCAAGCTCACTGTTTCCATTATTTAACGTCCACCAAGTATCAAAACAGCTAGAACTGTTTTCAAACACTAGCCTCGACCCTTGCCTGCATTAATGCCATCTTTCCATAATTGCCAACTTACTGTATTTATTATGAACTGTTAAGACCTATCAAATTTCAAAACAAACACCACTATATTAGACTGAACGCAGAGACTGCAGGCTGTGGAGGCAGGCTCACGTCTCCAAAAGAAATCATGTAGCAGCATTCAAAGCCTCAGCCTCCTTGGGAAGTGATGCCACTCGGTGGTCATTCAGTCATTCCCACAGGAACTGTCTTTGCCCGCAGTGCATCCCAGGGGTTCAAATCCCCAGTGGGTCTTCCTCTGTTTCAAACGCCACCGAGGGGCTCCCGGGTGTGTGAGATTTGTTTCCCAGCACTTAGCCAACGCGCTAAGACAATCCATAAAGGCCACTGTGCTTTGTTGAACACCTGCTCTCCACCACTTATCTAATGACCTTGAGAGCTGGTTATTATATTGAAACTGTGAAATATACAATAATCCCTTAATTAACCAGGATGAACCTAAAATGTTATGGTTCATTGGATTTACTGCTTAACCGAGTTAAGTTAAAACAAACAAATGAACAAAAAAAAACTTTTAGTTGAATACTTCCTAAAGATGCATTAGGATGTTTTCTGCCCTGATAAATACAGTGGAATTAAAAGGAGCACAAGCAAGTCTGTCTCCTTAATAACCTTTAGGGCTCAAGGACATCCATGTCATCATGACCTCTGACATCAACAATGCTCAAGACCTGACACATATTGTAATTATTTGCGGTTACCTTTTTAGCATCACAGAATTTTCAGGCTCTCAAAAAAGACATTAAAAACCATTAAGTTCAATGCCCTATTTTTTTTTTCCAAAAAAAAAAAAAAAAAAAGAAAGCTGACCTGCCTCAGTACTTGCTCTGGGTTACAGAGTAGTAAAATCTGAATTAAAACTCAGGGGAAACAGACCAGTAAGCTAATGGTAATTAGTTTTCAAGTTAAAACAAAACTATAAAGTATAGGACATTGACATGGATTTTGATTGACTGCACAACATATCCTAAAAATTGCCTTAGGAACTGAACATTTTAATGCCATTCTCCTCCTGATAAAAACCCCAAATTTCAACGATTTCTGTCTAATCTTGATTGCTTCCAAGCAATGGAGATTCTTCATGGTTTTCGTGTGTACAGCTATTTTGAAAACAGTGTAGACTTCACTATTAGCTTTTGAGAATCAAGTTTGTACACTTCTTAGCTTTTCAGTAACACGACTGTAAGAAAACAGAACTGTCATTTCCCGAGTCCACATGCTGTGCTGAGCAGCGAGGCACACGGGCCTCTCGGAGCGGGAGTTCCACAATGTCTGCCTGCCTGTTTTGTGCTGTCAAGTCAGACAGTTAACAACAGTTGGATGCAGTTTATTTTCTCATGGTATAATATTTTGAGCATTCACGAGCATGTTAAGTAAAATGAATGCGTACACAGTGTCTACATAAATGTAAATTTATTCATAATCAAGAGCAGAATATTTTCTATGGCATTTATCAAAGCAAATACCCTCATATAGGTATTGCTATAAAATGAAGAGGGTGTTTAAAACAAATAGGGACAACCTCATGTTTATATTCAGTTATTTTCAGATGTGCTATTAAACTTAAAAAAGATTATATTTCATCAAAAAGCAAAGGGAAATAGGAGTACAAATTCCATGGCAATATCAAGGTCTTTTAAAAGACCTTCATATAAAGAAGTGCCATTTAGCATTAAAGATGCTACCATTTTCCCAAGGAAACCTCTAAACTGTCGACTCTGGGGTGTCATCAAGTGACTGTTCTTCTGAGGCAGAAGCTTAATATAAATCACAGTATAATAACAATCAAGAATATCTCGGGGTCATTTGAATCCTCCTGTAAAAATAGAAGATCTAAATTCATACTGTGAGGAGTTTTTCAAATGAATACATGCACCACAGGAAACCACCTTATTAATCTAAGCATTTGGGGGAAAGCTCTCAACAATTATAGTGTCCTACAAATAATAAAAAATTAATTCTGAGCATCTCAACATAGATCTAGAAAAGTCTGCTAACTCGGATGATTATTTTATCCTTTCAAATAATACAAATTTAATATGCAGGTAATCAACCAATAGACTATACCTTTAGTCTGTGAAGGGAATTTTCAATATGAAGCTTTTGGGTACTTTGTTTGGTTGATTTGGGAAGGAGGGCTGAAGAGAAATGAGAGAAGCTAAGTTGGCTTACTCCCAGCTTGATGAGGTAGAGACACCCATGGGAAAGGTGCTGGAGCATGCCATCCTCAAGATCTTCCGTGCTGTTATAGGCAACACTCCACACTGTAGAATTACATTTAGGATTCAAAGCATATAATATGTAGCGCTCCAGAATTCCACTTAGTTGCCTTCGTTGTTTCCACCTGGGATTGAACAAAGGTTACAGCATTTTCAGCATCATTCATTCATGTCTAAACAGAGACAAATAGGACCACTTAAGAGTCATATAAATTTTAACATATCATGCTGTAGAAAACCTACATGGGTTTTTAGCTCAAAATAATTGTCTTTAAAAACACACACATGTTCATAAAATGCCTATTCTAAGAACCTTAAAGGATATATGATGTAACCCTTGCCTTCAAGTTACTTTGTGTGTCTGTGTGCGGTCTTTGCTTGCACATATGTAAGGACCCACACATGTAGAGGCCAGGGAGAGACATCGGGGTTCCTAGTCCACGCCTCTGTGCCTCACTCCCCCATGCAAGCTCTTCCACTAGACCTGAATCCAGACTGGCTGACCAGAAGCAGTAAACACCCTCCTGCATTTCTCTCATGAGTGCTGGAGTTACAGTTATGCACCTGATTTTTATGTGTGCTCTGGAGTCTGGAACTCAGATCTTCATGATTTTACAATAACTGTTTTTACTGAGCCATATTTCCAGTCTCTAGTTACTTGTAGTTAAAGATAGTTAACACTATACAAATGTGTATTTTTTTTTTATTCTTAAGTTTAGGATATCAGACCAAAATTGGTAGGCACACAGTATCTGAGTACTTCTGATGAATGTGAGAGAAAGAGTAATACAACACTCCTGAAAGACCCAGAAAGCCAACACTGAGTGGGTATGTAGCCACATAAAGAAACTGAGAAGGGCTGAGGCAATAGGCAGGGCCTTTTGGAACCTTGAGGTTTTACATACAGGTTTAGGATTTTGACAGGTAAAAGCAAGAGTGATGGGACCTTCAGATGAGGGTTCCAGTGCACTGAGGATGAGAAGGGCTAGCTGCAGAACAGACAGAAGAAAGCTCAGCTAATACTCAGAGAAGTGGGGAATCTGGGAATAAATATCACGGCTTGTCTTAAGGCAACTGAGGGCCAATTCAGAGCTTAGGCAGCAACAGAAATGAACGGCAATGCTCTTTAGCTTGAATGATGGCATAAATCATTTCAGAGTCAATATTTTGTTTACAGACAAGAAAACTGGGAAAAGGAAATAAAAATGAACGAGTCTGAATTGGTGTTAAGAGAAATCTACTAGATTTTAACTCAGCACCTTAGACCTCATGTAATGAGAAATGAAGAGAAGCCACTAATATCTAAGAAAAATCTAAACATTTATAAGTTGTATTCCTCTCTGACTTGAGCTACAAGGGGATAAGCTGGCTGTTCTTGAAGAGGATCTGTGTCTGCTTCCTGGCACTCACAATTCGTGGTAACTTCAGTTCTAGGGGATCTGATACTCCTTTATGGCCTTCTTAGGTATCAGGCATATATGGTGCGTGCACACACACACACAAGCAAACATTCACACATATAAAATAAAATAATCTTTTAAAAACACACATATTTATGTATATATTATTCTAATCATGACAATTTATCACAAATCACCCTCCACCTATACAGAACTTGATGGTGGATAAGTAGGTGGTCATTTTTCTTTTACTGACAACTGCACAGAAGTTGCATACACATTTAGCTTGGCCTGATTGCCTAGAGAAAAAAAAATGGAAATTAAGCTGACAAGTGATAATCAAAGGTTCCTAGAACCACTGGCCTAATCATTCCCATGCGTTTAATCACAATACAATTAGTGTAGTATCACAAGCCCTTCTGAATGAACTCACTGGGATTCTTACGTCAACCAGCATGTGCGAGACACCCGAGCCCTACTTACTGTACATGCACAGTTCTAGAACTCAGGACAGCCAGAATCGGGGGGTCCACCCGCTCTGGGGGCAGCTGTGCTGTATGCTGGATGAGTCGGGAGCTGTTTGTGCACCCCAGCTGTGTGCGCGCACCAAGCGTAACCTCGTGGGCCGAGAATAGTCTTAAATCTGGGGGAAGGAGAGAAACAAGAATTTATTCTCCATGATACATTTTTCTCAGGAGGTTTCACCCCTTTCTACATTTTGACCTCTAAGAATTGTTAAAGTTTTGCTTAACATAAGAATCAACACATATGAAAATCAGCAGAAATAAAATGTTTTTCTCTTGTAAATGACATGGCTGCATTGAAACGGACCTGTGTCTGTCACACCTTGGTCCGACTTTTTCATTTGAACAATTTGTTTTCTTGAATGTCTGTGATCAGGTAAATCATTTTCAGGGTTTAGTCTTACTTCAAAGACTTTGTTAAAAATAAACGAGATATTTAAATTATTTTGAAGACAACAGGAGTTGCTTTTGAAATGCTAATACATAGCCTATAACAGTGACTTTGAAATTCCCTTTCTGCGTCTATCTCGCCAACAACTGTTTGACCTTCAGATCGTCTGAGATGAGTGCACAGGTGTGCTTCACTTGTAAGATGTCCCTGACACTTCCCAGTGTTACCTGGGCAGGGGCAGCTACTGGCATTTTGTGCATGCCTCCAACATGACAGTCATCACTGCAGCCATGTTGACTCCTTAGTATCCAATACAATGTGTGACACATTAGAGGCTTGGAATAGATAACCGAATCAATGACTACAGAATTAATGAAGGAGATGAAGATACAGTTGAGCTAGGTATGAAAGGCAACCCTGAAAAGCCAGGTAGTACCCTAGGCAGAATAATCTCTCCTTCCCTCAAATTTCCTTGGCATGTCACAGCTGTTTACTAGTGAATATCATCAGTGAGAATACATCAATCTATAATTCCCCAATTCCATTCTTAAATGTGCTGAATTCTTCACATGTAAAAATACCGAATGGCCTAGCTAAATTTTGGACCAAGTTTATCAAGCTTTAAATATAATTTGTACTTTCACAATATTAAAAGTAGTAATTTTGAGAAACATCTTTGAAATGTGTCATGATTTAAGTAACACATATTCTTAAATCTCATTAACCTTGAACCATTACAGTTGCACGTTTGAAAGATTAATGAAATGCAACCTAATTCAGGCAAATAGATTTTGCATTATACTGATCGCAAGAGTAAACTAGGGAGGAAGTGCTGATTTTATACAATCAACTGCTTAAGCATGTAGGTCACCAGAAGAAAGGCAATCCAGTAATTTTATAGCAAATGTTGCTTTGGAACAAAAAGAGGTCACCGAGATGACACTTGGTGTGCTTTTGACCAAACCTTGCTACTTTGTAGCTTCTGTATGGTGAGTATCTAATGGTGCCATCCTGACATGAGGCACCCTCCTTCAGTGGGGTCAGAGGAATGCTGCGAGGACGCGCCGAAGGTGACAAACCAACTCAGAACAGTGTGACTCTGAGAGACGATGACAGCAGCTTCATCAAATGTGCACGACTAAGAACTGGAGTGCCCTTACTTGGGCAAACATTGCATAAAACATTGTATGTCCTACTCAGGGTTACAATTGCCGTGATGAAACTCCATGACCAAAAGCAACTTGAGGAGGAAAGAGTTTATTTGGCTCACACTTCCACATCGCCGTTCATCATGCAGGATGTCTAGCCAGCAAACTTACGAAAAAGCATCATGAATGTGGGTGAAACCAAGAGAAGTGGGTTCCTAAGAGTTATAGCCTTAGGAATAGCTTACTCTGATGGTGTGAGCATGTGTGTGCCTGTGTGCGTGTGTGCCCGTGTGTGCCTCTGTGTGAGTGTATGTGTGCCCGTGTGTGCCTCTGTGTGTGTGCCTCTGTGTGTGTGTGTGTGTGTGTGTGTGTGTGTGTGTGTATGCTTGAATAAGCTCCTGGAAGCAAGATATTGACTCCAGATATCATCCTCAACTGCTATCTTATTTAATTACGCGTGTGTGTGTGTGTGTGTGTGTGTGTGTGTGTGTGTGTGCCTGTATCAGGAACAACTAGGCACAGGGTGTTCTGCCATGTCACATGTGCTTATGTGATGACCTAGGCTACTACCCCTCTCTAGTCCTGTTCTTCTGCTGCTGATTTTCAGGAACTTGGTGACCTTTCTCCCTCTCTTCTCTCCCATGGGTCTGAGTTCTTTATATTTTCTGGGAAGAAAAAGGGAGATGTTTTATTCTGTGTCATTTCAGGAGTGAAGGCAAGGGAGGCACAGAGCTGAAGAGGCTCCTATGGTAGCTGGAAGGCACGGTCCATGTGACCAGTTCGAGTAACCCTTGAATATGTTTTACTCAGAGCATCCTGGTTAGCAGCTGAGCCTCGATGTTACCACATTCTTTGCTCAGGAATCGCTGGAGTTTCCTTTTGTGTTACACTCAGATTGATATGGCAGGGATGTGGCTATCTACTTTGCATTTGGTGAAGAAACGACTCCATTCAAAGAGCGTCTTGTATCTGTGGCCTTCACACCTGGGACTTCATTATCTCAGCTGTCGCCCAGTGAATTATTATGGTATGACCGCACACAGTGTCCCAACCTGTGAAATGCTCCGTTCTCTTGCACACTATAAACCCCGCGCCTTGATGACCTAACTCGTGAATGCACACAGAGTATTTGCCATGGGGAGGGACACGCATCTATTCTCATATCACGTGGGGCTGTTTCCTGCATGTGGCTCCCACTGTGCCAAGCTGTCTTCTGCTTTGGGTTGGGAAGCATCCGTTTCTGTGACTGTTGTGACTGAAGATCGGAACAGGAAGCAGCCATGCCTAGAAGGGTCATGTTTGGGACAATGAGGATCACTCTTTGTCTGTGGTCTATTGCTTTGAAGAGACACCATGACCATGACAGCCCTCATAAAAGAAAGCATTTCCCTGGAGCTTTCTTAGTTTCAAGTGTTTAGCCCATCCCTGTCATGGTGGAAAGCATGGCCACATGCAGGTAGATATGGATCTACATCTGAATCCTTGGTATCAGGAAGAGAGAGACACTAGGCCTGGCTTGGGCTTTTGAAGCCTCAAAGCCCACCCCAAATGACATACTTCCTTCAACAAGGCCACGCCTTCTAATCCTTCCAAATAGTGACACTCCCTGGTGACTAAGCATTCAAATCTGTCAGCCTACCAGGCCATTCTTACTCAGCCACCACAAGTCTTGAGGCAGGACTGAAACAACAGAACCAGTTCTTGTCAAATCCTCCAGTCAGAGTTACAGTTCACCCCAACTCCTTCGTATCGTGAGTTTTCAGCTTGTAGATGATCAAGGCATTTCATTTTAGGACAAATGTGCCTTTAATGTACACTGAGGCTTAAGAAGGGAGAGATAGAAAGACCTGGAGGGAACAGAAGCTCCACAAAGAGAGCAACAGAACCAAAAACTCTGGGCACAGGGGTCTTTTCTGAGACTGATATTCCAAACAAGGACCATGCATGGAGATAACCTAGAACCCCTGCACAGATGTAGCCCATGGCAGCTCAGTCTCCAATCAGGTTTCCTAGTAAGGGGAACAGGGACTGTCTCTGACATGAACTCATGGGCTGGCTCTTTGATCACCTCCACCTGAAGGGAGAGCAGCCTTACCAGTCCAGAAAGGAAGACAAAGAAGCCAGTCCTGATGAGACCTGATAGGTTAGTGTCAGATGGAAGGAGAGGAGAACCTTCCCTATCAGTGGATTGGGGGAGGGGCATAGAAGAAGAGGAGGGAGGGTAGAATTGGGAGGGGTTGGGGGACAGGGCTACAGATGGTATACAAAATGAATAAACTGTAATTAATAAAAATAAAATAAAAATAAAAAACGAATGTTCACATGGCCAGGTGTGGTAGCTTATATCATAGTCTCAGTACTTTGGAGACGAGGCAGAAAGATTGCTGTGAGTTTAAGGCCAGTCTGGCTACATGTCAAGATTCTGTCTCAGAAAGGGGAGGGAGGGTGGGATCGGCAGGGGAGGAGGGAGGGGCTTATGGGAGATACAAAATGAATAAAGTGTAATTAATAAAAAATTAAAAAAAAAAGAAAAAAATGATCTAGCTTGTATCTTACACACCCACTGTTCTTGAAAGGAAATGTTTTTGTCACCAAAAAAAAAAAAAAAGTAAAATAAAAGTAAATCACACACAAAAAAACCAAAACCCTAAATAACATGGGAAGTCATATAAAAGTTGAAAGAGTAGGAAGGGTCAGGAAAGCCAGTGTGGTTTTGATAAGCAGGAATCAATGGCCATATCACTGAGATAACATTTTGAGCAGAGACCAGTGGTTACAGACATTGTAGGGTTCTGGAGAAGGGACATTGCAGGAGCAGGTATAGCCAGAAGCAAGGCCTTCACTCAAGAGGGAGTAAGAGACAGGAGTTAAAGACAGTGGGCCTTCAAGGATTTTGTCACCAAGGAAAAGAGAGAGTTGAAGCAAGAGAGGGTGGGAAGGGGTAGGTGAAGGGATTCAACTATTTGAAGAAGAGAAAAGGTTTATTGTGTGCCATTAAAAATGACCTGAGAGGGGGGTAATGGTAAGGAGGGAAGCCAAGATTTCCTGGTCATATACAGTTTTGGTTTTTAGAAACTGTGACAGGACTGAATGGGAAGAGTTGAATGCAGAGGGGAAAAAACAAGCAATCACAATGGCAGGAAAGAGCGTGTGTGGGCAAGAGAGCTGTGAGGGACACAGGGCCGGGAGTTCAAGAGCTGCACCATCAGCCAAGAATTCTCTCTGGAGTCTTAAGAAACAAGAGAAATGACAAAATACCCCCCCCCCACACACACACATGCTCACATGCACATGCACAATCACACAGTCCTGAATTGGCCCCTTAATGCCCTTAAAATGAAATCTAACATGGCTAGTAGGGTAGCTATTGACTTAACAACAGCCTATTTCACATTCCCATGTGTCCTCACCTCACCCCTCACCCCCTCACATTGTCACAAGCTCACACTTGGAGCCATTTCAAGGTGTTTAGAGGACCCTCTACCATTTTCTTCTTTGGTATTAAATGGCCTTTGCTTGTCCTCCAGACAGACTGTCCTTTGAGTGGTCTCTTTGATAGTCAGATAGCTCACCGTTATGC